GACACACCAGCATGGCTGGATGGGTTAATTTCATGCGGCTCAGCAACCTACTGGTTTCCTTGGGAACTTTTGCTCCCCTTTACCTCCCAACTCCATATGCAGTGAAACTCCCCCAACTCCTTCCCCGATAAGCACTGGAAAACTCCCTCCACTGCGCACTCAAGAACCAAAGGGGACATATTTTACAGACCAACTAATCATCAGAGGGGATCAGCCCCCCATCCAACCAGCCACACAATGCCTGTCAGCTGCCACTGTCAAGTAGGGAAGTCTCCATAAGGTTCTAGGGAAGGGGAGCATGGTGAGTCAAAAGGTACTGTGAATGGGGTAGGGAATGGAAAGGATGAGGGATTTGGTTTGGCAGTACAGAATGATGGATAGAGTATGAAACTGGTAGATTTTTGTGTGTGATGGATGGCAAGTATTTTATTCAGGGAGTGTCACATGAATTGTTGCTAACTGAGGTGGGGGTTTTTTTGTTTGTTTTTTTGCTCCTTGTTAAAATTCTGGCACCATATCATTGTTCCAGTGCTAGCACCCAGGGGCTAAAAAGGGTCGGTGAAATCTTGTCACTTAGAAAGATCAAAGCTGCAATAGGATTGCCTTTAGAACTCTCGCTTTGCTGAACTGATAACCCACAGCTATACACATGAATAACTGAGAATGGGAATTATCTCAAGGGATTTAGAAAGCCATACCGGTGCCTGTTATCAGTCATTGAGCACTGTATTCTTAGACTGAGGCTGAAAGTGTTTATATTGTTGTGTATGTACTTAAGTTTCTGAAGTGCTGCAGGCCAGTACCAGCTAGCCCCTGGGAAATATGCTCCTTTGCAAAGGGCTATCCATATTGTTGGTTTTATATAGATAAGTATTAAAGGCCCTGATATCCCATAGTGGTAGTTATTGTAAGAACATACAGTATAAGACAGACCCTGCATCAAAAAAAACTTTTGAGCTAATTTAAGACCAGATAAAATAAAAGAATGTAATAGACAACCAGAAAGAGCCAGGGATTGGAGAATAATGGTAACAATTGTAAGTACATGTGTTTACATAGGCTGGCTGTGTGCACAGCGTTAAGTCCATTATATTTTTAATAAGATACATATAAATTAAATGGATATTAAATGGTCCTCTACCTAGCCATCATCAGTTGGAAGTTACCTGTAGGCATCGTTGTCTTTAAATCATGTCCTCAGTGATTCCCTGTGCAACATCATTGCTTTCAATGAGTTTGCATAGGTCTAACCAACTGGACCTTAGTAAACAATTCTGTTGATGCTGCATGAGACAAGTCTGTTGAGCAGGTTGCTATTTTTACATAGTCACTTTTCAGGGTAGAGTTGCATTTTAATATTTTCCTATTTTTTTAAGTTTATATATAATATATATACACACAAACACACCCTAGAGGGTAGAAAGGGTTGTTTGCTCTCTGCAGAGGCTCAGGGATACGGGTGTGAATGGCTCATGGCTGTCTGGACCTTAGGTGGAGCATCTGAGAAGACAGTGACAAATCTAATCACGAGAACTTTGATACCTAGCAATTAACAACCATGGATGGCCCACTTCTCAGCACAAAGCCAAGCAGAGTTTGCCCAGCTGGGGAGGTGCTAGGGTAGTAGCTGAGTGTTGGTTGTAGGAAGCAGTGGAGGTGCACTCCTGAGCTGGGACAAAGAGAGGTCAGCGTGACAGAGCTTTGGGATTCTGTGCTGACCAGGATGGACTCTGCTGTAACTTGCTTTTCTCTGTGCTAATCAAGGACTTCCAATGCTGTGTTCCAGACTACTGATAAACTCCTCTGTTTTGCAACACTGGCTGTGTGTCACTGCAAATCCTGACAGAGGAGGTGCATTGCTCCCTAAAATTGTACAAGTCTCCCTCAGGGGGTCTGTCCCAGGTGGGCTTGCTGAACAGAGCTCTGAGTGTGAAGCGGGGTGCTGAAGGCCCAGAGGTCCAGTGAATCCATGTGGCTTTCCCTGGAGGAAGAGTGAGACCCCCCCTAGGGGGTCTGGCACCCTGCAGGGGTCCTCCCAGAGACTCTTCCAAAGCTGGGGCCATAGGACTGGTCTTGTGGATCTGTGACACTTCCCTATCTCACATAGATGTTGCAAGGATTAATTCTTTGGTCTTCATTAGCCACTAAGATACTACTGTTACGGGGGCGGCCACAGATGCACCAAGATAGGCAAAAGTGGAGAAGGGAGTAAATATAGAAGGAACTGCAGCAATATGGATTTTGGCAAAGCCCAAAAGGAAGAGAATCCCTAAAGATGATTAAAATTGAAATGTTTTTACAACATAAGTGAATTGCTCATTAAAGGTCTGATCCAAAGCCCATTCAGTCATGGGAGTCTTTATTTTGATTTCAGTGGGCACTGAATGTGTGAAAAGTCTAGATTTATGTTGGGACATGTGGAGACTTTCTTTTCCTCAGGCAGTTTTCTACAGTTTCTTTTTAACTGTCTAGAGTACCTGTGTTAAATGATTTCTGTTCTTTATAGAGTAGTCAGACAGCACTGTTGTGTGATCCTGGCATTTAAAGGGCAAAGTTACAGAATATTAAAAACAAGGCACAATCAAAAAATACAGGTTTCAGAGTAGCAGCCGTGTTAGTCTGTATTCGCAAAAAGAAAAGGAGTACTTGTGGCACCTTAGAGACTAACAAATTTATTTGAGCATAAGCTTTCGTGAGCATAAGCTTTCCGATGAAGTGAGCTGTAGCTCACGAAAGCTTATGCTCAAATAAATTTGTTAGTCTCTAAGGTGCCACAAGTCCTCCTTTTCTTTTTAATCAAAAAAGAGTGATTTTTTTCCCTGCCTGTATTTTGAAGCTGAGAAAATAGAAGTACTATCGTTCCATCAGTTTTCCCTTTCTCTGTATCTATTTAATGCCACCAAAAGTTGTATTTTATTCTATCAGGTGTAGTGTATGTAATTATGCTTCTGCCTTTGCTTCAAAAACACAGAATATTTCACCATTATCTGAGCGAATGCTACTATTAGGCACTTTCCTGGAAGAATAAGTAAATTCACAGAAACTTAAAAATCATTGAAGTTTTCCCAATCCAGTGTTTTAGTGACTGAGATTTTTTTTCGCTTTGCCCAAGAGCATTTGCAATGTAAATATATATGAAACAAAGACAATTTCTGAACACTAGCTGCAAATCCAATAGTAATGTAAAGCTCTTTGGTTACATTCATTTACTAAGATAGAGAAGATAATTTTTGTGTTGTTTAGTTTAAAATATAATGAAAAACATTACATGGTTTATGTAAGATGCATATTTATATGTATACTGGACACCTACATAGCTAGCAAAAAAAGAATCTTTTGTCAGAAAGGATGTGTGCTCTTGTGGTTAAGGCAATGGCTTGAGATTCGAGAGATCTAGGTTCAGTTGCAAGCTTTTCCACAGACTCCCAGGGTGACCTTGAGCAAGTCACACAATCTCTCTCTGCCTCAGTTTTCCATCTGTAAAATAAGAATAATAATACTGCCTTTCTCCCACCTTTTGTCTGTCTTGTCTATTTAAAATGTAAGATCTCGCTGAGGCAGGGACTGTCTTTCTATGTAGTCGTACAGTGCCAAGCACAAAGGGGTCTTGGTCTCAGCTGTGGCCTTTAAGCGCTACCTTAATACAAATAGTCTGTGAAAGCCTGAGTGAATGCTGACAGTATGACTGTACCACAGCTCAGGCTCTTCTTACTGGCTGCCAACAAATGGTGACTATTCCTAAAGACTGATACTAGGTGTGTTTTTGTAGTATAGCACAAATTTTTTTCAATTTTTTCAATTTTTTTCTGGAACATTTAGCAAGATATACCTAACCATGAGTAATCCAGGGCACAGCACTCCCATATTTTCATTCATAAGCAGAGAATAGAGACTGGGTAGTTTTAAATGAAAATCACAGAATTTTTGTCCTCCAAAAAGTTTGACCCCAAAACGATTTACAGCCCTACATGACATAACTTTAGTGGAAATCCAGCGTTTTGTAGTCTGCATTTATTTAAATAAGAAAAGCCTCCACTGTATTTCCATGTAATTTTCACTGGAGTTAGTAGGCATTATGTGCAGTGGAAAATGGACTCCTCCATACACATTCCTAGCTGAGGGAGGTAGAAGACAGATCTTCTTTCATTCTTTGTTGGTCTATCCATGACATCAGAGGAATTTCCTAACGGAGCTGACCTTGTGGTCTTGGGATCAACCATAGCCATTGTTTCAGGACTGCCTATCTGTTGGTCTTTCTAAATGTTTATTTGTCTCAGAAGTATAAGTACAGTGGATACCTGGGTGTGTGAGGAAGGGAGTGATAAATTAAGTTTAAAAAAAAAGTCTTTTCCCTAAAGCTTTTGTACCATTTAAAAAGAGCCCTCCATGTACTGTTTTTAACTCTAATAAAAGGTAAATTTGTTTATTGCTTCTTCTATCAGCAGAAGGGTATCGAAACCAGTCTTCTTTATTAGCTTTCTGTATCTTAAATGCAGTGTTTAAGGAGCTCCAGTAATTGGCCCCATTTGCAGGCTTGGAGATGGAGCCAAGTACATATAAGCCTTTCTCAAGCAGGAAACAGGAATTAATGCGCAGCATTTCTCATCCTGTGGTTGAAATTTTTGCTGTTAGGAAGAAAATACAATAACAAACGACTTTGCTGCCTCTGAGAGAATTAAAATGCAGGTTTTCCAATGTTGTGTTGGGGAAATGGTACTATCAATATTTATATAAAGCATTTTTATGTGCTAGCAGAAAACGGGTAGCTGAAAAACAGTTCTTTAGAAGCTACTGATAGTTTCAGTATCTGTACTTGCAAGAGCATGTTACAGGAACTGGGGATGTGAAGAATGGAATGGAATGAAATCACATCTCTATTTGTCAAAGTGTAAATTTTTTGATGGTACTTTCTTGCCTTTAGGATGAATTTAATCCTAGGCTGTTTGAATTTATAATGCTCTTATAAACAAAATACAAAACCACATTGTTCATTCCTCTAGAAACCTGATGTGCGGCTCTCCAGAGGCAGCATAGACCGAGAGGACGGGAGCCTCCAGGGCCCGGTAAGTATGTATGTGTGGTATCTTTTCAGCTATCAACTCTTTCTCTAGGTCTCTGTAGAACACACTGCACATTGCCCTGATTATGGGAGGCGAGTTAAAGTTTGCTAAATGTTTCCATTATTATTACGTGGGTCTAAAAGTTTCCAGAGGCTTAGCTTCTACGGGAATGGCAGCAACAGCAAATTTGTTCACACAACTGTTTGGGGTTCTTTTTCTTGGTGCTGCTGTTGAAACAAATGCCTGAATGTTTTAGCAAATACACTCTGATTATTTTACAGTGTACATGGGATGATTAGCCAAGGCTTTTATTTAAAAATAGGGATAGTTTTGCTTAGATTTCTGTCAACAGGAAGCAAGATTAAATAACCTATGCGGATGTTTAAGTAACTGAAGAGCTTTCTCATAAGTAATGTAAGTCTTGAGTAATGCAACAACAACAATCTCTCTGGGGGTAAATGAGCTACTAGAAAACAAATGGGGCAGATCCAATTCATTATTCATTCATTTACTGCCAGACAACAGCTGCAGCTATGATATATTCTCACTCACTGACTTAAGTCATGTCTTTTGTGTTTAAAAAAAAAAGGGGGTCTCAAATAGTTTCACTTCCTTTGTCGTCTCTGTACCACAGAAATTGAAAGTAGGTGGTTGTGCTGTGTGTGTATGTGTGTGTGTTAATGGTTTCATTGGACTGGTTGACGTAACTTTTCTCTAGTGATTGCCTTCATCAGTGTTTCTCTAAATTCATATTTTTTAATTCGCCTTTCTCATTAGTTTGAGCTGCTCTTGTAAAATCCAAATTGTTAAATACAGTAGAATCTCAGAGTTACAAACACCTTGGATATGGAGGTGGTTGATAACTGAACAAAATATTGCAGTGGTTCTTTCAAAAGTTTATAACTTTTGAACATTGACTTAATACAGGTTTGAAACTTTACTATTCAGGGGAAAAAATGCTGCTTTTAACCATTTTAATTTCAATGAAACAAGCACAGAAACAGTTTCCTTACCTTGTCAAAAAAATTTTAACTTTCCCTTTATTTTTTTTAGTTTACATTTAACACAGTAATGTAATTACTGTACAGTATTTGCTTTTTTTTTTTTTTTTTGGTGTGTCTGCTGCTGCCTGATTCCAGTTCCAAATGAAGTGTGTGGTTCAAAACTCTGAGATTCTATTGTGCTCATTCATCACTTAAATATTATAGGGGAGAGGGACTTTGAGACAGATCCACAAAGGGATTAAGACACCTAACTGCCACTTCAGGTACCTAAATCCAAAATTTAGATCCTCAAAACCCCTGCCCAGCTGCTGCCTATCTCTGTAGACACCTAAATTTCTGCTGGTAAAGTGCCCATGGCATCTAAAGATCTGCCACTTGACATGTGCACAGCAGCCTCAGTTTAGGCACCAGGTCACCTAGCACACACTTAAGCCCCGGTGGGAGAGATGGTTCCTTGTAATTTTTAGCCTAGTGGTTAGAGCACTCACCCACAATGTGTGGACACCAAAGTTCAGTTCCCCCTATCCCCTTTAATAAATTTTGCTTCCCATGGCTGCTTGATCCCAGGATGTCTGCTTGTGCCCTAAATGAGAAATGCACTATATGTAAAACTCAAACTACACAGCCCTGCATTCCCAGATGAGATGAGGTGGGGAAATTATCCCCATTTTACAGCAGGGGGAGCTGAAGCACAAAATGATAAAAGCTAAAAGTGTCCACTAATTTTTGGTGCTCAGCTTGAGACGGCTAGAGCTTGATTTTTCAGAATACTTAGAACGCAGCTCCAGTGGGCTTCACTTGCAGTTATGAATGTTCGGTACTTCTGCAAATATGAGGCAGAGACCCAGCATGGAAATTTTCAGACCACATGGTTAAAATTTGGCCAAGTTTTAAGCAGCTGGAAACAGGGTCTTATAATGGAAAGTGTTAGACAACTTTAACTATAGCTGTCACTGCCATCTCTGCCTTTAATTTTAATACCATAAAATTCATTTCTGCGAATGTTGCAACCTCTGATTTGGTTAAATTGAGCTTTTATAAGGCAGCTGGTATAAGGCAGACCTGACCAAACTTCTTTTGGATAAATACTGCATTGCTGTCTCTAGAGCTGCTTATCCTGTTAGCTTTGCTAATGGAAGGATGATCCATTCGCTGGGGCACTAGCCTGGAACTCGGGAATCCCAGGTTCAGTTCTCTGCTCTGCCACAGACTTCCTGTGCAACCCTAGGCAAGTCCTTTAATGTCTCTGTTCCTCAGTCCCCGTCTCCAAAATGGGGGTAATAGTTCCCTACCTCACCAGGGTGATGAAAGTATAAATACTTTAAAGATTCTGAGGTGCTCAGTTACTACAGTAATATGGGCCATGTGAGTACCTAAGAGAGAGATTTGCAAGCACAGATGTTCTCTAACACACACCCCAAAATCAAGTTTGATTGCTGAGGTTACACTAGTAACAGCTAATTTGGGCATGTGAATTAATTAGCACTCTATGCAGTGATTTATACTGGATTCATCCATAGCTAATGGTGAGTTCGTGCAAGAACTCACGTGTCTTTGCACAAGTTTAGGTGAACCCTCAGTTCTCAGAATTAGTTCTTTTTAAAGTGTTGAAAATGCAGCTCCCTTAGATTTAATGCAATTGAGACTTTAAATCTCTTTCCAGTCTTTTTACCGTATAGATATGCAGCCTGTTTCAGAATAGTTTTCACTTAATAAATAAATGTCCTGTTGAGATGTTTTATTGCTGTGCTTACTGAGAACTGGAGCTATGTCAACATTTTTAATTTGCAAAAGAAACCCCAATCTGCAGAAGCTCTTTCATAAAACATATGAGTGTATTTAGATTGTTGTTTTTCAAGAAGGCAACTGCAAGTCTCATATAAAGCATTTGTTCTGTTCTGACTAAACAGATTTCCCTCTGACTTGACAGTAAGCTGTGTAAATATAATTAGCAAGGCAACTCATTTCAATCCAATATAAAGAATTTCCAAATTAATAAGTAGACTATCTTTTATTTATTCTGTTTTTACTGTGAATTTCTAAAAGTCTGCTTAATCTGATTTAAACTATAGCAATAGAAAAGACCCTAGGCATGCAGTCTTCTAATTGTTCTGCTACAATTTTTTCTCTTAACAGCCACAACTTATTTAAAAATTATCTTTGGATAGAGAACTAAATATGGTAAATGTGCCATCCTATTTGACTAATGCCAGTATCAGCCTTGCAAGGACAAACTATTAGTAATACAGATAAAGGCCAGTGTGGTTGTGAGCAGCAGAACACAAGATGAATGAACGTTTTTATCCTAAGTAATGTTATCTGAAATTGTAGTTGGAAGCAATATGTGTCTCATGATACCTTAAAGTAATGTGAGGGGAGCAGGGGAAATACTTTTGGAATGTCTGTGACTGGAAATCTTAAAGAAATTGGATAACTCTAATGGCTAAGCTTACAACAACAAATCTTTCAGATGAGGATCCTGAGTTATAAACACCGTAATTGTAATAACTAGAATACTAAACTTAAATTTTCTTTTACAGGCTGGTAACCAACACATATATCAGCCTGTGGGTAAACCAGGTGAGCCATACATTTACTATATAATCAGCATGAACACTCAAGTTCCTGATCCTTGATGCATTTCTTCTCATCTCAGAAATTGCATTAATTGCCACAGTAGTAAATAATAATCTAGGCCAGTATTGGATACCCTGAGGTTAGGCATCTAAATACAGTTTGGCATGATTTTCAGAAGTGGTAAGCACTCACAACATCTATTGATTGTTTTGGGAGGAGTCCTGGCTGATTTAATTTAAATGCCAAACTTTTGGCCACAGAATTTTCAAATTTGTGGCTGAGATTTTTGAGCTTTATTAAAATGTTCATGTTGTTATCTTCATTGTTTCAAGGCTTGAAAAAAGACTGTGGGATCTTTTAGTCTCTGACTTCCTTTAGCTGAAATAAAGATAAGAAGCATAGTTTGGCAGATGGAGTTTTCATAAATGGAAATAGAACAAGCTTATTCAATGTGCTGAATACCTTCCCAAAATGTTATAAAGTCAATATAATAAATTTAGTCCTTTTGTAAAGTGTGCAAAATATGTTGTTAACTAGATCATGCAGCTCCGCCAAAGAAACCACCTCGTCCTGGAGCCCCCAGCCATTTGGGTAGTCTTGCCAGTCTCAACAGCCCTGTGGACAGCTACAATGAAGGAGTGAAGGTACATTGCTCAGTGTCAAATAAAGTATGTTTTAGCTAATTGCTCATTATGCACCAAAAAAAGAACCATCAGCAGTTACTAATGTGTGAGCTGATGCTGAAAGTGAAAACAAAATTGAAGCTTGTAACTGAATACGTTGTCATGGGACATATTCACACTCGCTGTTTGCTACTGTGGTTTTGCATCTCCTTCCAGTCGGACCTTGTTTGGAACAAGAATTCCTGAAAATAATACTCTCCCTCCCCCATCCATCTCCCTTCACCTGCCGTTGTGCTTAGTTGGAATTTCATTTGGCCGTTACTTCCAGCTTGAAGAGCAACTGATATGTGGGGTACAAGAGACCATTCTCACTGCCCATTCTCCCAGCTTATCAGAGTGATGTTAATTGGTGGAAAGCAAATAGCATAACCACAATTCTACTTATTTCAGTAATCGTATGATTATTTACATAGTGGTTAGGTGTCCTAGGCACTGTGGTGCATGCCTCTGCTCATTAGGATGCGTGGGACACTCGACTTCTTTTCTTGTCCCCCTCTCTGCTGTGATGTTCCAGCATGCTTCTTGCTGCAATGTCACAGCTGCCCTAGAGCAGTGGTTCTCAATCCGGTCCGCCGCTTGTTCAGAGAAAGCCCCTGGTGGGCCACTCCACTTTGTTTACCTGCCGTGTCCGCAGGTTCGGCCGATCGCAGCTCCCACAGCCCATCCCTCGGCCCACGCCGCTTCCCGCAGCCCCCATTGCCCTGGGGTGGCGAACCGTGGCCAATGGGAGCCGCGATCGACCGAACCTGCGGACGTGGCAGGTAACCAAACCGGTCTGGCCCGCCAGGGGCTTTCCCTGAAAAAAGCGGCAGACCAGCTTTGAGAACCACTGCCCTAGAGCCCTGATAGGGGGCTGTGGGGAAGGGCCCAGTAAATGGTGCATTTAAGTATATTATGTGTTTTTTAAAAGATTTTCTTGTTCACTGTTTCATCTCTAATAGAGATGAAATAGCAACATATGAAACTACAGAACTGCTCCATATACTAAACAATCACCTGATCCCTTCATCCCCCAAGCGGGATTCCATGGTGGCTGTCACACCGCAAAACTCTGCACTCTGGAGCATCCCAGTGGAGTGGATGCTGCAGTTTGGCCTAAAGCACAAGAAAGCTGCATGTGCTAAGTGCCCCTTTTCCAGGGGCTGATGTAAATGGGATTTGTTTCTTAACATACAGGTCACCTTTAAACATGTCTGTTCACTGCTTTTGGGGATTTGTTTGCCTTGCAAATTATCAGGAAGTTGAAACTCAAGTGGCCTCTGTGCCTCCTGAAGTGGAAGAGGCTGGAGCTGTTCTCAGTGGGAGCAGTTTTTCAGGGGCAATATATGATGCTGCCTGAGAACTCTGGGTCGGTGATATTGTAACAGTGAAACAAACTTTATGCAGTGCGGTGTTTTATTCCTTTCATCCTTTCATTTCATCTCTGGAGTAAAATATGGCACCATGAAAATTCGATTTCTCCTGTTGTAATATTACTGACCCAGAATCCTTAGGCAACAGCATTCCCTCCCCTGCCTCCACTTTCTCAGCTGATGCCATCAAGAGTGGCCACAGAGGTGATTTTTTTGTGCTCCAACAATATCCTGAGAGGAAAAAGGTGAAGAAGATATTATAGCACTGCTAAACTTGCACTGTCCAACATAAGCTCCCACAAAGCCATATAAGTTATGTGCTGCCATAATACAAATAAATGATGATATAAAGCAAGGACAACTGAAGTGAAGTTTTACAAACATGCCTCAAGGGAAAAGAGAAACTCTCAGTTATCCAATCCTAGCCTTCCCAAGTCTGCAATGAAGACCTGGATTCCCTTGCAGAGGTGGACATCTCTGGTATGGTTAGTGATATCTGTTTTATAGTTTTAAAAAAAATATGGAAACCCAGTTCATCCCCAGCTGGGAAATACAAAACAAACCATCGAAGTCGTACGCTTAGCAAAAATGGACTATTTCCACAAGGTTCTTTCTCTCTGTTTTTTGTTCTGAGATTATCTGAATGCTTCAGAATCAGCATAAATGAACAGAACTGGCCACTTAGAGCTAGATTGTTTATTATAAAATGATGCCAGTGCTTTTCAAGTTGCCAAACCTCAGAAAATGTAAAAAGCAATAACAGATGTGTTACTAAATTCGGCTTTTCTGTCTAAAATTCCCTTATAAATACTAACATTTGATGCACGTTAAAAACATTTGCAGAAAAAATATGCCTTTGACACCTGGGCCAGACAAAAACTACAATGCAAAAGTAATTGGCGACGTTAGATTTAATAAAAGATGCACAGACTCTCAGTGGCTAGAGCTATGGGTTTCTTTTCAGAAGAAAAATAGTTTCGTGTTAATTTTCTGCATTGAGAGTCTGTTTTTCCTGAAACTGGTTTCTCTTACCTTCTTTTGGGAGGCTTGTATTTGAATACAACATGGCTTTGTCAAAGTCTTCCAAGTTAAAAAGATGATTTTCCTGGGGTCATTAGTGCATAAAAATATGATAAAGAAGTGAGTCTCTTGCAAATTGTGCTGGTTGAACTTTTAAATTCCTAACTCCCTTTTCCATAATGCCAGAATACAAGTAAAAATGACAAGACTTGAGGTTCTTAATCCCTGGAGCCTGTGGAGAGAGAGGCATCAAAAAAATGTACAGTATACAGTTACTTGTTCAGGGGAAGTCAGCCAACCATGTGAAGATAACCCTGGCTGTTTAGTTTGCGGTGGAACAGTGTTGGTGTTGGCTATAGAAACAGCAAAGAGAAAAAAATTAAGTATCAAGAATTACAGATACCCTTATTCTGTGATTCCAAGACCCAGCCAAAGGAATCAAATGGGTTGTGTGTAATCAGTCCAAAATGGTCTCTCAGTAGTTTGTAACCACAGTCTTAACCAAGAATCTTCATGAACAAGAGCAGTACAGTTAGATGACTAAATATTTCCCACTATGAGGACTTCAAAAACAAATCTTCAAGCAAGAATTATGCAACCTCTGCCTGAGCTATCAAGCAATGGATTATTAGCCATGTTAAAAAATACCAGCACTTCACCTGGTACACTTTCCTACTATGAAAAAGACCCCTAACTCCATTTACCACTTTGCTATTTGCCAGATTGGTTTGTTCCTGTCAAGCTTTGCATGTCCTCTTCCCCATTTATTTTGTAAAATGTAAGCATGAGTGCATGGCAAATAACTTCATTTCCTGTGCTGGGGTGCTAAGAAGATTGCTCAGACATTATGCTTCCATAACAAATGGACCAATAGCTAACATGAGCCAGCCAAAATTGTTATGAATGCATTTTTGTTGCAGGCTTTTTTTTAACTGATCTCTAGTTACTGCACTTGTTTTGTTGGGGTTTTTCCTGCTGCATTTTATTAATATTGTTTTTCTTTTTTTCCCTTCCTTTGGTAAATTTCTTTAACCTTCCCACATATTCTGCTCAACAATAGCCATGGAGGGTAAGCACAGAGTGTATGTGTTCGTGGCGTGTGCGTGCTATTCACAAATGGCTTTGCATGTGACTTGACAATAGAGATGATTTAAGTGTTTAATTTCTACTACAGTGTCACTGAAATGTATTAGAATCCACACAACCTTGCACCACCAGCATAACCAATAACAATATTGATTTTCCCATCAATGTAAGAGATGGATGCTTTATCCTTGTATTTTCTATCAGCACCTACATAGCGGAATGCAACAAAACTGGATTACTCTGTGCTAAATCCTGGATTCCTTACTCAGGCAAAGTGCCTAGGCATTTCTATGGCCTCATCACTGTAGTATGTGAGTGCTTCCCAGGTATTTAAAAATACAAATTAGGGTTTCTTTTTTTTTCTTTCCACTCTATAGACTTAAGCTTAAATAGCTTTTTGTTTGCTTTTTTACATTTGTGTGTGAATGGGCATGAGAATTATTGAGGGAAAGCTAAGCAAGGAAATGAGTTTTGCATTTTACTTTGGAAGTGGTGAGGGCCATAGTCGTTTTTCTTTTCAGGGACTAAGGTCCCTAGTGTGAGCCGAGCTCCTATGAACAGTCCTCCTCCACCTACTGTCATGAGCCTCCTGCTTCCTGTGGAATCAAGCTGCCATGGTTACAGAAGGAGTGGCAATCTAGGTAGCTGGGGTCAGTTTCATGGAGGGCTTTGAATAGCAGGATAGAACCATTGAACTGCACTCTATTCCCTGGAGAGCCTGTGTAGAGAGCAGAGCTCTGGGGTAATGTGTCTCCTCAATGAGCTGTGTTGATACACTTGATGGAGTGCTCTGTTTTATACCAGTTAGAGCTTTTTAGGGTCTGTGGCTTCATTCCTAGATATAGTGGGTTGTCATCATCAAACCTGGAAGTCTCAAATGCTTGGATCCCTGTGACCAGGTCTCTGTCCAACAGAGCAGAATACTGCTCAGTTGCAGATGGAAGTGGACGTTTTTTGCTACAAAATGGCACTGTTCATCCAGTACCATTGAGGTATCTAAAAATACTTCAAGGTTGTGGACTAGCTTTACAATCTAAGGGCAGATGCTGTTGAGAGTGGGGGTTTTTACAGAGGAGTCAAGTATTTCGAAGTCTGTTCCTCTTCCTATCAGGATCACCTCAGTCTTGCTTAGATTCTGCTTTAGCCTAGCTGGGGATCTATGGGAGTTTTGCTTGAGTTAAGGATTGCAGGATATAGCCTGGTATTTCTCTGATCTACCAGAGAGAAAATATTTAAAATGGTTGAGTCTTAGCTGCATTAGCAGTGCTTTAATTCTGAGCATGTAAAATAAATACATTTTCATTTTCCTTCATGTTCTATGTGGATTCCACTAACAAAATGTTTGGTAATATACACTGCAGTACTCTTCCTCTTTGCTGCTGCATATGTTGCTAACAACTTATCCTTGACATAGGGATCGAAACAGTTGTCTGAAAATTTGGGCTCTGATACTCCATTGTCTTGAGCTTTGTGTTATTATTTGCACCCAGGCAGACTAAGTAAAAAGTGGGTGTAAAGCAAAGAATTATGATTTGGCAGTGTGCCCCATCTATTTGCACAGGTGTAAATGACTTCATGAGGTGCAAGGCAGTGAAGAGTCAAGTTCTTTATCTTTCAGGAAAAACTGTATTTTTGACCATGCAGGTAAATGTGTGAATTACCAGTTCCTGTATCAAAATAAATATGATCTAAGTTTTTGCTGAGAAAATGAGGGGTCTGAAAACCAAGTGGTCAGGTTGAACAATTTGCTCCCTAAAACTTGCACCATGAAATTCATTCCTGCCTTGAAGGTGAATTCTTGCAAAATTTCAGAGGGAACAATCTCTGCAGTTGAGAACCTCTAAGGAATTTTAAACATGCTGTAAATATTTTTTGGTACTTCTCATTCCCAGATTCTCTCAATGCTGCTTGTTCTGTTTAGCGAGTCATAAGGGGAGCTCTTCAAAGAATTCATGGTGTAAAATTCCTTCAACTTCATTTCACTAACCAAACTCAGTCGAAAAATAATTAGACTTAAATACCTTCAGATTTGACAGCAATGCTTAATCAAAAAGAACCTTGGGTACATTTTCAGGGGGTGTGGAGGGAAGGATCTTTCTTAAATCAGCAAATGACATCCTGGAGTTCTGTTGAGTTTGTGAAGTAATCTAGCACCATCTCTTGGGGAAAGAGAGGAAAAACAGCATCTTTTTTTGCTCTTAGCTTCAGCCACAGGAAATCAGCCCTCCCCCCACTGCCAACTTGGATCGTTCCAATGACAAGGTGTATGAGAATGTAACTGGACTGGTGAAAGCTGTAATAGAAATGTCCAGTAAAATCCAGCCTGCCCCTCCAGAGGAGTATGTGCCCATGGTGAAGGTAAGAAGATGCCATTTTCTTCAATCATTCTTTTATTTCTGTCCTGACTGGCACCGTAGTTGTCAGTGCAAAAAATAGAACAACTGCGTAACACTGGAAAGCTTGTGAGCAGAAACACACCTGTCTGAGTCTGTGCATGCATTATTTACATTATCAGGACAGGGGTGCTTCGAACGATATTGAAAAATCATTACCATCAGTAATCGACGCAAGATTGTCTATGATCATGAAGAATTGAATGTGGTCTGCAGCAATTTCTTTACTTTTTACAAAGAAAAAGTGGATTTTTTTTAAATCGACCTTTTGACAAACTTCAGCCACTGTCAGTTTGCTGTGTATATGTGTTTTCTCTGGTTAAGCCATTTTTCCATTTTATGGAAGCAAAAAATTCAGGGTGGAATTTTCAAAACTGCTTAGCAGCATTGCTCTGCTCTCATTTTGGTCAGTGGTCAAAGCAGTTAGGTCAATACTGAGAGCTTTTGAAATTCTCGACCGAAATCCTTTTGACATCCACAATAATTTTTAAAGATGTAATAGGTGTTTGGTTAAGAGATGTAAGGACATAAATGACGTACCTAAGATGAAGGAAATAAAATAGTGCTGAAAGGGCATAATCGAATCGGAAAGTATTGGAACATTGTTGTGCTGCACTCTGTCCTGTTACAATGTCACTTCAATTTTTTTTTTTTTTTTTTTTTTTTTTTTTTAAATTTATTAGGAAGTTGGTTTGGCACTACGAACTTTACTGGCAACAGTAGATGAGACCATTCCAGTGCTCCCTGCAAGCACTCACCGAGAGGTATGTAAGGATTTTCTCATATACGATTCAGTACATTAAGTGTCAAGTCATTTTCAACTAGGTAATTATTGGGACATGTATTGTATCATGAGCTTTTATAAATATTAAAATACTAGATCCTTTTAATTTATTCACATACTGACACATTTCTTCTTCAAGTAATGTTCTCATGAGTGCTCCATTTCAGATGCACATGTGCCTTGAGCCCTAAATTGGAAATTTTTCTGCTAACAGAGCCTGTTTTGCCTACACTTGTGCCCTATGCCTCCTCGTGCAGGACACCAAGGCTATATAGGGATGTTCAGGCAAACCACCCTCAGCTCTGTCTCTGCTGCCTTGGCCGGAGACAGAGCTCGAACGTGCTCACCTTGAGCGTACCTCGGTTATTTCATATTCTTCTTATAGATGTTCGTTAAGTTTTGTTAGTATGGTTGTTAATAGTAGTTATAATTACTTAGTAAGTGTTAGTAGTGAGAGGATACTTTGTTTTTTCTTCTTCTCTCTTTTTTCCTTGGAGAGCCTTGTCATCTTGGCAGGGAATGACTGGGTTGCTAGGCTTCAGACGGTCCCTCTCATGCCAAGAGGCCATATCTGTGAACTGTGGTTGATTGGGGGAGTCCCATGTCTCCCAAAAGTGCAATTTCTGCCAGCTCTCAAGTCAAGGACAAGGAAGAACAGGGAGATTAAGCTCAGATTGTTATTGATGGAGCGCTCACTTTGATCAGCATCTGAATCAGGTTAGGGGACCTGCCCCGTGTACATCTGTCTCTGCACAGATCCAGTGACCTTGGCACAGGCTTCTCCTAAGAACAGGAGGTCATTGGGGGCTTCTTAGATGGCTTCCAAAAAGAGACGTATGGACTCTCATCTCAAGGAGCCTACTCCAAAAAAGCCCAAATCCCATGTAAAATCTGTAGCCTTCAAAACTTCGACCTCTCAGCTTGGTACTGTTGACTTGAAGAACTCCTCCTCCGAGGCCAGCAGAGCTGGATAGCCCTGGAGCTTGAGAGAGAGACATGGCTCCAAAAGGGCTTCTGTACCCTCTATCCAGGGTCAAGGAGGGCAAGCATAAACACCCTGATCTGGTACTGTCAGACTCAGTCCCACTGTTGGCACCTGTCCATTCACCACCATCGGTACTGAGCAAGCAACACTGCCAAACTCCATTGACACCTACATCAGTACACCTGCCATTCATGGTACCATCATCTTTGGCTACCATGTCAGTACCAAGTCCCTACTCAATACTGCAAGAGTGCAGATATGTGAGAGACCTGTCCATAATGGATGTGCCAGAATCCCCACTCCACATGGGTATCGAGCATCTTTTGGTACCAAGACCACAGTCTCAAGACTGATACCATCCCTCAGAACTGCAGGACTCTCCACTCCTTTCTACGTGGGCTCCTCCACTGAACGATGTTGAGGAGCATTAAGGGGACTTCCAGTTGGTTTCTTCTTTCAATCTAGTGTCCCCAACATATCCTGTCAAGAACTCATTCTTTGACAGTCACAGGGAAGATCGCAACTGCCATCAAAGGTGATGGAACCAACTCTGCATGCCACCCCCACTCCTGTATGGGCTCCCTCTCTGGTGGCGATACTGGGATCCCTGGACTTCTTACCAACAACAATTCTCCAGACCACCAGTACCGTCTCAAAGGGAGGCTAGGGTTGCTCAGTCTTCTCCTCCCCAACCACACAGGAGGAGACATTTGAGGAACAGGAGGCCAGGGTGGAGAAAGAGGCCACCTATCAAATGCCGATCTCATCCTTGTCTCCAGATGAAGCTGTTGTGCCTACACCACCTTCCATGGCTGGTGATTTTCAGCAAGTTCAAGGATCTTATAAAGAGGATAGTTGACATTCTTCAAATTCCACTCGAAGAGGTCAGGGATTCACTACTCAAGCTGTTGGATATCCCACAGTCAGGAGCACACTCCAGGGCGGCATTACCCATCAGCAAAGATCTTTTGGATCCAGCAAAGGCTGTGTAGCAAACAACTGCTACTATTCCACCAACGTGTAAAAGGGCAGATGAGTATTATATTCCCCCTAAGGACTCTGATTTCTTATTCTCCCACCCTCCACATAACTCTATAGTAGTGGATGCAGTAAAAAAGCAGGGCAGGCAACGCTTCTCCAGGTCTGCTCCACGTGACAAGGACCAAAAGAGACTGGATTTATTTGGACGGAAGTCCTGTTCATCAGCAACCCTGCAATTCAGGATCGCAAACTATCAGATGCCAAATAGTTTCACAGACTAGAATAGATTGATGGTCTTTATTGAACACCTGACATAGGCACATAGAGAGCAATTCCAGTCCTTCATTTCAGATGGCCAATTATTGGCCAGGACCTTTCTTCAAGCATACCTGGATGTTTTGGACACTGCTGCCAGATCCATCTCCACAACAGTAGTTATGCACAGGCCATCATGGCTCCAGCTTTTGGGATTTCAGGAAGAAGTACAGAACACCATTGAAGACTTCCCCTTCATTGGTCATAAGCTTTTCTTGGAGACCACAGATGAGTCCTTCCATACACTGAAGGACGCTAGAGCCACTTTACGTTCCTTGGGCATATATACACCTACAAATATGGGACCATTTAGGTCACGAACTGCCCAGAGGCTGCATCCTGCTCAGTTCTCTGGATTCCATAGATCCACCAAACCCCACAGGAAAATACATAAGTTTCAGAGGAAGAGGGATGCCCACCGACCCTCCACAACCACACAACAATGTTCGAAGCAGCAATTTTGATGGGCCAGTCGAGGGTTCAGATGAGTCTGGTTTTACAGCTGCACCAATTTGCCCACCACGCTCCCTTTAGGGACCACATTTCCTATTTCCAGCATTCCTGGAGATGGGCTACTACAGATAGGTGGGTCACAGAAGTCATAACATCAAGCTATACTGTCCATTTTACAGCACTGCCTCTCTTCAGTTCCTCATGGGGTTTATATTAAGACAGGAGATGAACTGTCTTCTCCTGTTAGTAGCAATAGAGCCAGTCCCTCCCCCTCACAGGGTCAAGAGGTTTTACTTGAAGTATTTCCTCAGACCAAAGAAGGATGGAGGGTGGAAGCTGATCTTAAATCTAAGACATCCAAACAAGTTTGTAAAGCCTCAGAAGTTCAGTATGGTGACTCTGGCAGCGATATTTCCTTCACTGGAGAAGGGGTATTGGTTTTCGGCCCTCGACCTACAAGATGCCTATTTCCATATAACGATACGCGCCATTCCCACAGGAAATATCTACAATTCACCGTAGGTGAGGATCATTTCCAATACAGAGTATTTCATTTCAGATTATCCTGTGCCCCAAGGTTGTTCTCCAAAGCCCTGGCAATAGCGGCTGCTTACCTCCAACAGGAGGACATCCTAGTCTTCCTGTACCTTGACGACTGGCTACTCAAGAGCCATTCTTACAAAGCAGTTCTGTCTTCTACCCAGACAGCCCTTGCTCTTTTCCAAGAGTCGGGTCTTCAGCTCAATATAAGGAAATCCATGTTAACCCCCTAAAGAAGATTCAGTTTATAGGGGCTTCTTTGGAATCATTGACTGAGGGTTTTTCGTCTCTTAGATATGTTCGTAACTTTGTCAGATTTGGTATGGACAATTCAGGGGAGTCCTTGGACTGCTATAAGAAACGGTCCTCAGCTTCTGGGACACACGGCAGCTTGCACTTAGATGACCGACCACACAACGCTATGCCTTCGCTGCATTCAAGGTTGGCTCAGAACAACCTATTCTTCAGTCAGACACACCTTGGACAGGCAGGTGACAAGCTAATGTGGTCTTGGGATGCATCAGGCGAGGTATTTCCAGTAGAGATAAGGAGGTGTTAGTACCGTTATACAAGGCACTGGTGAGACCTCACCTGGAATACTGTGTGCAGTTCTGGTCTCCCATGTTTAAGAAGGATGAATTCAAACTGGAACAGGTACAGAGAAGGGCTACTAGGATGATCCGAGGAATGGAAAACCTGTCTTATGAAAGGAGACTCAAGGAGCTTGGCTTGTTTAGCCTAACCAAAAGAAGGTTGAGGGGAGATATGATTGCTCTCTATAAATATATCAGAGGGATAAATACCATGGAGGGAGAGGAATTATTTAAGCTCAGTACCAATGTGGACCCAAGAACAAATGGCTATAAACTGGTCATCGGGAAGTTTAGACTTGAAATTAGATGAAGGTTTCTAACCATCAGAGGAGTGAAGTTTTGGAATAGCCTTCCAAGGGAAGCAGTGGGGGCAAAAGACCTATCTGGCTTTAAGATTAGACTTGATAAGTTTATGGAGGAGATGGTATGATGGGATAACATGATTTTGGCAATTAATTGATCTTTAAATATTCATGGTAAATAGGCCCAATGGCCTATGATAAGATGTTAGGTGGGGTGGGATCTGAGTTACTACAGAAAATTCTTTTCCTGGGTATCTGGCTGGTGAATCTTGCCCATATGCTCAGGGTTTAGCTGATCACCATATTTGGGGTCGGGAAGGAATTTTCCTCCAGAGCAGATTGGAAGAGGCCCTGGAGGTTTTTCGCCTTCCTCTGTAGCATGGGGCATGGGTCACTTGCTGGAGGATTCTCTGCTCCTTGAAGTCTTTAAACCACGATTTGAGGACTTCAGTAGCTCAGACATAGGTGAGAGGTTTTTCGGAGGAGTGGGTGGGTGAGATTCTGTGGCCTGCATTGTGCAGGAGATCGGACTAGATGATCATAATGATCCCTTCTGACCTTAATATCTATGAATCTATTATGCTCTCCTTCTTAAATGAGTCATTCTCATCACCCCCAACTTACCCAGACAGTTCTAGTTTCTGAGTCCCCTACACATGTCCTCTCAGTCGCTGATCAAAATTCAGTCCTTTTCCGATCTCCTGACACAGGAGAAAGGCAGAATCCATGTCTCTTCTATCCTTGAAAGTTCTGTTCCTGGTAGCCATCACCTCAGCCAGGAAGGTGTCTCAGAGTACTGATGACAATCCACCTTACACCATATTCCATAGAAACAAAGTCATAGCATTTACATCCTAAGTTCATCCACAAAGTAGTTTCAAAATTTCACACGAACAGTCAATTCACTTACCTGTGTTTTTTTCCAAAACCACATGCATCTGAAAAAAAAGAAAGTGGATGTCATTCCCCCAACACGCAACAAGCCTTAGCCTTTTGCCTGCAAAGGACAAAAACAATCAGAAAATCTCCCAGATTGTTTATAGCTGTAGTGGAAAGAGTTCAAAGTCAAGATATATCTTCTCAGAGAATCTCTAAATAGATCTCACACTGTATCTTACTCTGCTATAAGCTAACATTCTTCCCCTTCATGGAGTGAGGGCTCATTCTACAAGAGCACAAGTGAGTCAGGGTTAAATTTTTTCCCAGGTCATTGTGTCTGTGCCTGCAAAATCTGAATGAACAGGGGTCAATGAGAATGGTAGAAGAATATGATTCTTAGAGTATGAGAGAGGCTTAGTGACTCTCCCCTTCCAAATGTTTACTTCACCTGCTGTGTGGTTTGTTAAAATATCTGTAGCTTACACCTTCGTATTTATTGTATTTTATTATTGCTTAGATAATCAGTGTTAAGATAATTTTAAGAAAAAGGCCTGAGAGAGGATGATTTAGGAACCTGGAAACAGATTTAGGAATCTGATCTCTGTGACCATAGGTGCTGGAACTAGGGGTGTTGCTGCAGCTCATGGCTTGAAGTAGTAATAACGACCCAAATACGTGGTTTCCATCTTCAGCATCAGCACTATAAAAATTGTTCCAGCACCACTGCCTAGGACAGAGGTTCAAATTCAGCACTGGTGAATAGTGTCCTCTAGTTATTAACACTAGATGGCTGTTCAGTGGCCTGGAAGAGCAAATTCTTGGTCTAGTTTGTCGTGGACAAAGCCCATTAGCTGCTGGAGTCCACACAACTACTACTACCCTGCCCCATCCAGCGTGTTGGCTACAGAGATGGAGGCCACAAGATGGTATCTGAAGTATAGGTTTCACCAGCAAAGAAGGAGCGCTGCCTTAGGGGGAGTACGCTGCACAGTTAGGAATTCCATCGTGAGTGTGATACCCCAGATTTATTTGCCTCCTCTGAAATGCTGCCTGCAGGGCCTGACTGAATCTTGTATCTTTCCAGATTGAGATGGCACAGAAGCTGTTGAACTCTGATTTGGCTGAACTGATTAACAAGATGAAATTGGCACAGCAATACGTCATGACTAGCCTGCAGCAGGAATACAAAAAGCAAATGCTCACAGCTGCTCATGCTCTGGCTGTGGATGCCAAAAACTTGCTGGATGTTATTGATCAAGCCAGACTGAAAATGATTGGTCAGTCCAGACCCCATTAAACACTGAGGAAGAATTTTTTGTCGTTCTTTTTAGGAATATTGCTCATGTAAGGATGTTATCTAGCCTTCCACCAGCGGTGAGGATTAACCCTGCATAGTCCTGGATTTCCAGTGACTCCTGCTTCATCAGACCTGATTGACAGCTGTTGGTTTTCTCTCTCTCTCATTATAAAAGTTTAACCAAGTTTTTACCATAAAGCCAAGATGGTCTGGGATTCAAAATGTGGCATTATCGCAGAATGAAGTTTGTACAGAAGCCCTTGGGAATCGTGACTGGGGAAGACAATTACATTTTACATCATCACATAGGATGTGTGTTACCTAAAATTGCCAAGGGGTTACAATCTCAGAGCCAGGACTGTCCGAGCTGCAGATTGGAGAAAAATATTGTGAGGTGAAGAATTCTGGGAAACCTCAGGGCTGAGAATTCTTGCCCACAGTATGCAAGCTATCCAGACTGGAATTTTTTATTAGAACACTTACGTCGCAATATGCTAATCACGATTTACAGAGAAAGAAAATAAAAAAGCTCTATTTTCAAGACTTCAGCCATTTCAAAAGAAACTAAAGCCCTCTTCATCTTTCTGCCTTTTACTTTTATGTGGATGTGTGAAACATTTGTTTGGAAACTAGCTGTAGAACACAACTGAAAACTCTTGTATGTCTTTTCACCAGAATAACTTGCCAGTTTTTTGTAGCAATGTTATTTTCCTTGGAAGCAAAAAGCTGCTTTGTACCAGAGCAACTCAGAGCCGCATTTAGAAGAGAAGTTCTGTAACCATATGTGTTCCCCATTTTTATATAATTTATACAGAAAGATTAAAGCCATGTTGAATATTCTAAATCCACTGTAGTTAACTAACCCATCTTTGAGTCTATCTTGCCTGGGAGGAGTTACAGCAGAGCAGTGTGAATGTTTTCTTTGATTTTTTTTTCCAGTTACACCATCTGTTCTGTTAAATAAAAACCACCATGCTCCCTTTTGTTTGATGGGGGTTATAAATTATTCTCAGGAAGAATATAATGAACTGTACAGTTACTTTGACCTATTAAAAAGGTGTTACCAGTGAAGTCCTGGCTGTAAAATTTCTTCCTATGCTGCAGAGCACAAAGCGTTTTGGAGGAGTTTTCTGACCTTGCTTTTTTCATCAATCGTAAATTTCAGCAGTTTATGTAGACTTAAAAAAACAGAAGGGCACTGTTGGGAGGAAGGCCAAAAAATTGACCTTATGATAAATCCTTTCACGTTAAGGTACACACAACTCTGCAGAGCATTTCTCCACCCAAACCTAATGTTCAGGGAGGAAAAAATTCATTCCTACAACCTAGTTCCCAAAAAAAAGCAACAGATAGCTTAAACTAAGGCAAATAAAAAGTTTTTCAGCAATATATAAACCTTCAGTTTCCCAGTTCTTCACAGGTTCCTGTCCTGGTAGCATGGATGAGCAGCCATTTTCTCCCCTCAGAGCCCATTCCTCAGCATTCCCATCTTTTGATATGCTGGCTTTAAGGAACCCCTAGTTGTTTTATATATGCTAAAATCTTCCCACTAACACCACAAAAACAAAAAACACCCTAAGGCACATCTCAGCAAGTGAAATTATGTGGAGTTTCTAGGCCAACCCATTTAGGACTTGAATCCTACAAAATCGTTAAAAACAAGTGAACTTAATGTAAATTATCAAAATACTATGCATTTCTAACTTTGTGTAACCAAAACTTCTCAGAACTGAAATGTCAGGAAGATAAAGTTGAAAATTGGGCTATTTCTGAAAATTTCAGCTTCCTCCTTAACTAGGGATGGGTTGATTGCTTTTCCATTCAAATACATTTTAAAATAGGATATACTTTCTTCAATTGTCTACTTATTTATAACTGTGGCTGTCGCTTAACATAGTCCATGAAAGTTACCATTCTCCTGCTATATAGACATGAATTCAGTCAAGAAAAAAAGAATTGAGCCTGCATTGAGGAAAGCAACAGATTTTGAACACCAAAATACCATGGAAACGTAGGTTTGTTTTAACTTCTCTGCCTATTTCATTGACAGATGGCGTGCGGGAGCATTTCATGACTCCTCTGATCTTTGTCCAACTTCTTTGCTGCTTCAAGCTAATATGCTCAGGCAGCTCAGCGCTTAACCCAAGACAAATTGAAATCCAGTACTGTGAGAGTGGTGGGATTGAGTGCAGAGCATAAACTGAAAGATGGGCTGACAACTCAGGACTAGTCAGAGATACATTGTGGTTTCTGACTTCATCTGAAACTCCTGCACACAGACAATAAGACAAGTTAAAAAAACACAGAATCTCACCTAAAATTGGTATTTCAGAATTCAGTGTTTTTTAAATGAGGTAACTTCCTGGCCCAGGTTACCCCCCAGGGGGTAGTCACAGATGTATCTACTTACACAAGTAGAACATGGGATGTGCTGTGGATAAATGAGCTGTCTTTCAATTTTAACAGTTGCGCTATTGTTTTACCTTGTTAATTACTTTATTTTAAAAATATCTTTTGCTTTTCATACAATTGAATTTCTGAATGAAAGACTTAGGAATTACGGATGGGCTCCTGTGAAAAATGAGCCAGTTTTTTTGAGCTACTTTCTGTTGTTTGTTTTTAAAAAAGCAGATACTGAAGAAAAACAGAAGGGGGACCCTATGACAGAGAGCTCTTTAGGATTTCTGGAAGTTAACCTGAAAAGATTCATTATAGAACTGCAACTTGAAAGTTTTGGTTCAGTTTGTGGCCATTTATTTGAACCTTTCCTTGTATTCAGAGCAATTGCTTGGTGTTGTAAGGAAGGATTTTGGCTTTCTTCCTCCATGATCTAATCCAGGGATTCTCAAACTGGGGTCATGAGGTTATTACATGGGGGGTTGCGAGCCCTCCATCCCAAACCCCGCTTTGCCTCCAGCATTTATAATATTTTTTTAAAGTTTTAAATTTATACTGGGGGTTGCACTCAAATTTTCTGTGTGAAAGGGGTCATCAGTACAAAAGTTTGAGAACCACTGATCTATAGATTTCTTAAAGAATTGAGGTTGCAAAGTGAAATTCAAGTCAGTTGAACAGGGGTTCTCCCCACTCATTCAACAGGTGAACATTTTAAGGGGGTTGGATGTTCACAAAATTGCATTAATTACAGAATAACTTTGTATAAAAGTTCAAGTTGCTCTCTGTGATACAGAAAACCATTGTAGCTACCTGACCCTCTGCAAGAGGAAGCAGAGTTTTGTACAGAAATTTGAATTGGTCTAAAAAATGCTCTTAGCTTTAAGTATTGTATACTAACTCCAATAAATTCCTTTTCAGAGAATTTAACCAACTTGCCAGCTTTAATGAAAGGGGGAAGGAGGCACAATACAACTTCATCTTAACTGAGAGAAGTGTGGGTCACATTTATTAGTTCAAAGTTACGGTTTAACTTAAAACTAGGCTGTACAAAACATTGAATAAAACAGAAGCTTCTTAGGGGATAGTAGGCCCTCAGTGTTTTGTCCTAAGCTCCAGCCTTTGACATCTATCTATGATGGAAAAATAAAAACACTGGTGTAGATGTGAGTCGAATATAGCCCTTGTATGTGGGTGTAGTGTCATGGAAGGACTACAGGGTGATGTATACAGTAGCCTTCTCTTCATTCATACATATGGTGAAAGTTCACATGGGCTCTGTCCAGGACCTGATTAAGGTATAAGGAGATTGACTTTTTTTGGTCCAATGGCAACTATTTTATCATTCACCCTCTATTGACCAAAGTCTTAGTTTCAATCACTTCCAAAAAAGGAGGCAGCAGCCCTTCATCACCCATAAACTAAATTTCTACACAAGGCCAGGTGCAGTACTATTATCAAAAAGGCAAGCTTAAAATTTTTTTTCCTGCTGCTTGAAAATGCCTTGCCTGAATGATTAAACATCTGAGTGCAGTTCTACTGAAAAAAGGGGGTGATTAGATCAAAGATGAGAACCATCAATAGTCCTACTCATCCTCCTTAATTTAGCACCCCTAGTATCATGTATATTTTAAAGAGTAATGCTACTGGACAGGTTGAAGTGTCATTTTACTAGGACAGTGACCACTACAACTTCCCCTGCACAAGCTGGACCTGAATGTGGTAGCAACTTCAGCTAATGTCTTTAAACTGCCACAGCACTTAATACAAGAACAGTTTTATGCTGTCCTTACAGTGGGTCTTAATGTGAGTAAAAAGTTTTCAGAGAAAATCAAGTTGTGTACAATACAGTAGTGACTTTTGGGACATGGGATGATATAGGACCAGTCTGATGACTTGTGTTTCCTAATCCCCTCTCCACTTTTAAGAGTTCAAAAAAAACACCCCCTCCTCACATTCTTTAAAGACCAGATTAAAGAGTGTTTTGTTTTATTACAGATAGTACAAAAAAGTCAGTTTAGTCAAAGAGACCAAAACCCATGTCATCATCAGATTCCTCAGATTCTTCTTTCTTTTCTTCCTCTTTCTTCTCCTCAGCTGAAAAAGAAGAAAATGGTTAGCATCTCATCCTGAAAATCTGATATTACTGAAAAGTGATGTAGGGAGACCTAACTAACTAAACTCCACAAAGTTTGAGATACAAGAATCAAATTACATTGGAAAGGTAAAGTTACAATTGTGGTGATTCAGGGGCATGCTAGTACACCACCTACAGATAATCTAATCCACATCATCATCAATGCCCTTACTCCATGCAGTGCTTTTGACGACCAACATTGGAAGAAAGGGAGCTAAGGCAGTGCTATTAGCATTATAGTAACAAGCCCCCCTCAATCCAAAAGATGTAAGTTTACAAGCTAGAAATATTCTCCTTTTCCAATTATGAAAAAAGTTCTGCTCTTTAACCTAGTCAGATAACAGTATAGTTTTGCAGATTGAGTCCATACATAGACCTTGGAGACAAAAGAATTTAAAAGTTTACTGTAGCAAACCACACAAATTTCCATTTGCAATCAACAGTATTTCCTAAAGTTAAACTCCTTTCCTCTCACAAGTTCACCCATATTAAGATGTTTAAGAGCACAAAGCAGTTGTAAGTATTCAGAAAAGGTACAGCGGTGAGATACTTGACACTGTTTGTACAGTAACAGCATTTTGTACACCCATTTCTTCTACACCCATCCAAGAGCTCACTTACCAGGGGCAGCACCACCAGCAGGAGCAGCACCCCCTGCAGGAGCAGCAGCAGCTGGAGCACCACCAGCTCCTACATTACAGATCAGGCTTCCAATGTCAATGTTAGCTAGAGCCTAAGAATATTAAACATTTATTAGTACATTTTACAAAAGTTGCACAATTTACAGCTGTTCCATTATTGTAAGGAAATTTAAAATTGGCATAATTCAGCTCTTTATCCTTACCAGTTCCCAAGTTAGATTTAATCAGGCATTTACTTACTAATGTGCATGGGATGCTATCAGTCTGGTACTGAATTACAGTTGCTCTGTCTTCCATGTCAATTTACAAAACAAGTTTATCAAAACAATTCAGCAGACACTTGAGACAGCTACTGAATTTTGATCAAACCAAGTTGTTAACTGAACATCTGTCATGCCATCTTTAACATTAACTGTTCTAAGCAATTTTCTTCTCCCAGCTTGATCAAAATTTGGCTAAAAGATTCAGTGCACAATAAAGGAATGAAGCTGCACACGTCAGAATGCATAATTTGGCTTGAAGTACTTTTGACAAGCGAAGAGGCAGGAGAAAGAACAAACCATCCTGAGTCCCAGATCCTTGATTAAGTTTTCAGGGTAGTATTTAGAAAAGTTATCCTTTCACTTGTAGGCCTAGTACACGCATTGGTAAGTCAGTTTGTTTCTCTATAAACTCCATGTCAGTTCCTTTTCAGACTGAATCTGAAAATAAGATGACCAATCCTAACCTTCAAGGACATTGAAGTTTTTTCTATTAGAGGTGTACACTGCAGTCAGTGTGTCTATTTTGCTAATATTTGCCTCCACCAACAGTACTCAATGCTGATAAATGCTTAATTTGCTAATTGGGTTATCTGTTTGCTGCCAGTTTGGTATTTCATCAAAGGAAACATTCTTTGT